GGGGGGGGGGAAGGGGGGATTATTTCTTATTTGTGCGAGTACAGTAGTCTATCAACCCTGCAGGATCTTTTCTAACCGGAGTTCTAAGACCAGACCTAATTGAGTTAGAGTTAGGAACTCTAGAGACAAAATTCAGCCACTCCATGCCTGGATTCACACGTTCAGCTATAATATGATTTGCTTGATTTAGATTTTTCATGTTGTGTGAACCATTATGTTTTTTAACCTATGATTTATGGCTTAGCATTATGGTATGAATCCAGTCCAGTTGTGTTTTAAGAGGCAAAATTGCCAAAGTTTTGCTTAATGGAACTACAGTAATTAACTAAGGCTTAGTGGAACATTTCATCCATTAAGAATCCTGAAACCCTCTTCCAAGATTGGAATCCTAGCCCTGCCCATTTGAGAATGCAGCTTCAGCCTACTGGGTAACCCCAGTGTGGCCCAGAGCTGAGAGAAGTTGTGTGCCCATAGCTTAGAGAGATAAGTAAACCGATTCAGTATAATTACATTGTTGTAATCTACCTTGGAAACCTTTATGGCTGTATGTTACGTGCTATTGGAATTTGCTACTGAATAAGAAAATAATATAAATGCCAAAGCAAGCTTGGATTAATTAATTCATATCCTAAAATTGCTCTTGTTGCCTTGCAGGAACCTATGCCATTCTTGCTGGCTTACCTGCAGTTGGTGGGAACGAAGGAGTTGGGCAAGTGATGGACACAGGGAATTGCGTGACTGCTTTGAAACCAGGAGATTGGGTGATTCCAGCTGATGCAGGACTTGGTGAATTTTTAAGTTACCATTAAACTTTTAAAAAAGACAAAAGAACTAGATCTCGCCACTTAATAAGGGAACAGGGAAGGAAAGGGCCTCAACAAGATGCAAAGCTTATCAGACAGTCAAATTCTCCAAATTAGAAACTTCCTCCATCTGCTACACTCTTGCCAACAGTCCAAGCAACTTGCCTATAGAGACTTCTACCAAATGTCCTCTAAGATAACATTTGTATCTATGTCATTTTTGCAACAAACTAAGAATTTAGGTGTACAGAGGGTAGACTGAGATAGTGCTGTTCAGTGGATAGTACATTTGAACTTGGCCATGATTCAGGCACTGTTAGCAAGTGTATTTGCATAATTTCCTTTCCTACCCTAATATATGGGCCACAAAACAGCTTTGGAATGGTGCCCTGTACCATAACCCTGGTCCAGTTTAGAAGAACTCAAGGTTTTGTTTAACATTTTAACAGTGACAAAGGAGAGCAAACCATAGTTCTCTCAGACACATCAGCCATCAGTAGACACATAGAGATAAACCACATTTATACTCCATTCAAAAGAAAGGTAAGAAGGAAACAAAAAGACCAGAACGCATCCTTGCCAGCAACCAACAACCAGATAAGCAGGAATTAACACCAGACAACAAATCAACCACAAAACAATATCCTAATCAAGGAACTACCAAGGAGAAAACCATAGCCCCACCACCACCACTGACAGGGCAAGCTACTGTATATAAACAGGGACCAAATCTGACACCCACTAGCACTGATGATGTTACCTAGTTGGATAATGAAATGTCTGCAAACAAGCTTAGAGAGCACCAAGGACTCCATAGTTCTCTCTGTAATTCATCTATTCTACTAAGCTGTGGTTTCTTTAATCATGGCATATTGGGTAGAACATAATTGCCTGGGCTCACAACAAACTAAGTTAAGGGTATGCAAAATGTCTCATATGTAAAACAGGAAGTTCATGCCCAAACCAAAATGTGCTTTTGGTTTGGATGCAGAATGAAGCAGGACTGTTTAGTTCCAGACACATACCAGGACCCAGATGTCAGGCAGAAGTGTTTTGTGGGGGAAAGAGCAGAGGAAAAGCCAAGGCTGGGGTGGTTTCTTGGTAATAGTGGAGTAGGGAGCAGCAGTGCCAAATATTCTTTGTGAGTACAGGAGAAAGGAGGCGACATATTGCCCTTCGACCAATAACATCATCCAGTATCCCTGTGGGTTTGGTTTCAGCCAAAACCTATGCCAAACCACAGCTGATCCAGAATTGTTTGGCAGAACTCCTGGAACACAATGTGTTTTTTGGGAATTGAAGCAAAACGCATTTTTCCATTTTGTCCAGTCCCTTTGCTAAGCCTTAAATCTTTGTCTACAAATCATAGTGGCCAGATTGGCATACTGGCATACTAAGCCAGGACTGAGGAAATCATTTTATAGTATAGCCCAGTGTGTGAAACGTAGTAGCTATTTGGAAACCATAGTTTATAACTTAGTATGTTGTGCAAACCCAACCAGTTATTATCTTTTCAGTGGTTTATTTGTTGATTATTTCATGACAATACTTTAGACCTCTTATTGAGCTGAGAACTTCCAAACTGTGATTAGCTGTTTCATAACCTGAATCATGTCTTTCTTTATCCCTTACCAAAGGAACTTGGCGAACAGAAGCAGTATTTGATGAGAAAACTCTGCTGAAAATTCCATCGGATATTCCATTGACTTGTGCTGCCACACTGGGTGTTAACCCCTGCACAGCTTATCGGATGTTGTCTGATTTTGAGATTTTGGATCCAGGTGTTTATTTATTTGATTGTTTGTTTATAGAATTTATATGGCCACCCAACTTGAAAATTGCAACTTTGGGCAGTGTACAGGAAAAAATACAAAAAGCCCCACAAGATAAATAATCTCAATTAAAAGCCAGTAGATGTAAATAGATGATCAGTTCTCCATATGAGAACTCCAGTCATCCTTAACCCCAACACCTGAAGGAAAAGCCAGTTTTTTTAATACCAATAGAGTCAAGGCCAGAAGCATATTGTGGTCAATGGCACTGGAGGCTGCTAAGCGATCAAGGAGAACCAGAACAGACGTCGTACCCCTATCTTGGGGCCATCAAAGTTCAGTGACAAGTGTGGCCAAGACTGTCTCAGTACAGTGTCCCAGTCTGAATCCAAACTGAAAGGAATCTAGATAATCCACATTGATATAGAAACACTTTCTCGTACATCCTGACCGACATTTTCTTCTTCCAAAAGTATTTGCTGTAGCTGACTAGAATTACTTCACCTTTACTGATTTGAACATTCATATAGTTATGATTAGTTAGGCAAAGGGAAATTAAGGGCTGAGTTGTTTTTTTAAATTTAATTTAAAATGCTGAGCTTTTTTTTTAAATAACACACAAGATTAGTCTGCAAGTTTACAAAGTGATTTGCCATTCCTTGGGGCACAGATAGGTACACGCTTGAGCAATGGTCAGTTCTTAGCACTAGTTTGTGGACCTTTTGTACATGTTGTTATTGGCTTTGTCATTCATATTTTGATAGGCCTGCTAGTGAGCAAGAGCTATAGCAGATTTCCAAGAAATATCTGGCCTTGAGAGGAGTCTTGAGGGGCCTTCATTCTGAGTCAGTGGGCTTGTTCTTTTAACATTTTGTGAAAAGTCTGTGGAATTTCCAACAATGATGCCTGAGGGAGTAGGAACAAGGTACAAATAATGTCTTAATTTGATTTGTTCATTTTAGTGGCTAATAAAGTCTAAAGTTCAATGGTATGTAGGATATCATTCATTAATGGTTAATTTTGTCCCTCCAGAAAACCTGACAGAATCAAAGTTTAAGACGTGTTTTATCAGAGTGGTTCTTGAAGGCCAGGAATAAGAAAGGGCAGCATGAAATATGAGTAGAGAAATAATTGTAACTGGGATTGTACATTGTTTTTTTGGCAAGATGTTTCTTTTTCCTCCTGCAGATTTGTGAGTTAGGTTTTCTAGTACCCTTCCTGCTATTCATGGGCTCTTTTTGAAAATCTTTTCCTTGCCTCTCTGCTGGTAGTGGTTTAGCAAAAATGTCCATCACCAAAACAACCCCCACAGAAAGAAATAACAAGACACAGCCATTAAGACTTAGCAGCAACTGGTAGTTGGACTTCCATCTCTTTTCTAAGGCATACCTTTTAAATTGGGAATAAAATGTATCAGCTCATATGAGGTACAGGACTGGTTGTGCTGTTTTCTCCAACGAATAATAATGATGAGAGCGTCTTCCACTTGAAGGAGCAGGAAAGAAGGATTTTTGAAACCAGAGATGACTTGTCTGTCTGTTTGTAGGAGAGTCTGTCATCCAGAATGCAGCCAATAGCGGAGTGGGACAGGCTGTGGTCCAGATTGCAGCAGCCAAGGGCATCAAAACAATAAATATAGTAAGAGATAGGTGAGTGCCTACCTAATAAAACTGGGTATTTTTCTTTGTTTTCTTGTTGCTTTTGTCCAGTCACCGCCCTTTGGTTTATGCTAAATCTGCACAAAGAGGAGATTCTCTTTTGCTTAGAAATAGTTCACATGTCCTAGGCTGCCTTATATGATGCTCGTACAGTTTTTTAAAAGATCATCGTTTTGACCATTAGGCACATACAAAAGGTTTCCAATGTGTATCTGAGACAATGTATTTTTAATTGGAATACAGGGTTTTTGTATGAGAAGTTTCCATGTTCTGCCTTCCACCTGATGTGTGACCTGTGGCATAATGTTCCCCTGCAACTCTTGCAATGGTCTCGGGTGGTAGTCACGACTTGCCTGTTAGGACTGCGCAATGCTTTGGATTCAATTCTGAAAAGGTGCTTTGGAGTATGGGGGGCACAAATGTAGCACCTGTCTGCAGTTCCTTTAAGCAGCTGAGATTTTTCCTGCAACTGAACAGCAATTGTGGAGACCTTTATCTGAAAGCTTCAGGCTTTTGTAACTACTTGATGCTAATTTTTATTCATAGTAATTGATAAAATTACTATTAATGGCATTCTTTGTTTCTGAATGAGGGATATGTCATTTCAGCAGCTGTCTTCTCAGAAGAGATCTTCCCTTATAGAACGTACATATTTTAATAAAAATATATATTTTAAAACTACTACATAATCAACTAAGGTATCCCTTCAGCTGAGTGTAAAAAGTTTATTCTATTCCTGTTTTTTTAAAGTTGGATCCCTGGTATCAGTAGCATTGCATATTAGATCACATGTGTTTACTCAGGATGCCTAGGATCTCTTCTACCTGCTTCCCAACTATACTTCAATAAAATGTCATATTAATGCCCAGTTCTGATCTTCCTGGGCCTTGTAGAAAGGGTCCTAGTGGTCTGGCTGATACATGGCAGAATTCACAAGTCCCCTGAACCATTTCAGCAGTTGGCAAGTGTTGTTGCTATTATTATTACTTGTACACCACCCAACTCCCAGCAGCTTATTCCAAGTTAGTTTCCTTTTTAGTTAAATTCTTTCTTTCTTTCTTTCTTTTTTCACAGACCAAACCTCCAGGATCTTACAGACAGACTTAAGTCCCTTGGAGCAGACTATGTTATCACAGAGGAGATGCTAAGAAAACCAGAAATGAAAGAGTTGTTTAAGGTATAGAAGACAACAAAAATGCTGTGACTGCGAAATAGGCAAAGGAAACAGGGTTGCTGCAATGAATTGGATCATGTTAGTTACCTCTTTCACACAAACTAGTCATAATGCAGTTTGTTTGCCTTTGTCCTACTGTTTTGTATATACCTAATCCTTGTGATTTGAAACTTAGTATATTATGTGAATCCAGGAAGTTTCACAGAATCTCAGGGAAAGATTCGAGGTAGCACGGACAGTGAGAAAGAGACCTGTCTGAATGGCTACTGAATGCAGCTCAGAAATGTGGGTTTTGATCTTCTTTCCCATGAATAATTTATGGATTAAGTTCTTCGCAATTCTGATGTTTTATTGTAAGAAATACCAAGTTTGTATCAGAAAATACAAGGAAAAGCTGCTTGTTAGAAGCCTGCTTAGCCACATTTGGTTCTACAAAACTAAGAAATCTGTAGATGTTTATTACTGCAAAAGGTTAAAAAGAAACACCAAGATGGGTGTTTAGGAAAACAGAACACAAAAGAACTCCTCCATGTGGTGAAAAGAAATCATGTGGGTGCTGTTTGTTTATTGGTTATTTTTATAAACCTTGTTTCTGTCCAATTTTACAATTTTAAATTATAGTTTTAATGTCAGAGGACATACAAAAAGGACATGAATATAGATATGGATATAGATATAGATATTGCCCTGTGCAATGAGGTTTCAGACCATGTTGCCTATTAAAGTCCTCTTTAATAAGATAGACTGATTGGGATTAGAGGCAAGAACATAATGTAACTCTCTTCTGTCTTCTCTCTTTGGTTCAGACTGCTCCCTATTTATTCCACCCTGCAGGGAAATAATTTCCAGAGTCCAGATAAAAATGTTCAGCACATACAGGTGGCACACACTGAGATAGTCCTAATCAAATACTTAATGAACAAAATCAGCAAAACCTTCCTCATGCGTGTCTTTGGTCTGCCTCAGGTTTGCCTTGCCAGTTATTAGGCAAAATCACAAATGTCTTGACATTTCACCTATGATCCTTCTTGCTTCTGCTTTTTCTGAACACAGCAAAGTTACAATCAGGTGTCTGACTTCCCATTCTGTGTTGAAAGAATCCAAAGCTCTGTAAGACAGAAGCCTAAGAATGTTTTAGCAGAATTAAACATTTCTTTCTGTGAATAATTTGGAGGAGTTAAAGCAAGAAGCAACTTATTTCTTTACAATTTTGTCCTCCAGGAAATTCCTAAGCCCTCATTAGCTCTGAATGGCGTTGGAGGGAAAAGTGCTACTGAGCTGATGCGTCACTTGCGGTAAATTTAGCTTTTGTTTGCTTGAATTATATCTGTAGTAATTGTTGAACTCTACTTAAATGCTTAATGGGCAATTTGTTTTTATTTTCATTTGTGTTGTGAGTTGCCTAAGAAAAGTATTTTCAAAGCATGGCATATAAATTCCTTAAATTTGCTAGTATGGATTAGTGCAAGGATTTGCTGTTTAATAGGGCAGATTTGTACCATGTGTATCATTCTTGTCTTGAAGATAACAAATTTGCAATTGTATTGAATGCTGTCCAAAAGGTTTCGCTTCAGTGACACTTAAAAAAGAAATTAAGAGGTACTTAAAAACCTCATGAAAAACCTACTTGCTGAGTTAGCAAGCTGCCAAATGCCAGTTAGGGTTGAAGGATTTTATGCTACTTCTGTAAAATATTTAAACTCCATAATTTCAGTGAAATCCAGCTCCATAGCTCTGGGATAGTCAGAAAAGATCCTCATATCACCATTGCATTGTAGTAAGACGAACCTACTGTGTATTAAGACTTTTTTTTTTTTAAGCAAATGTAACTTGTCATGATTAGACAGGGAAGGAGACTGGTATTCTAAGCCAGTTGCCAGAATTGTAGGGATTTTATAGATCAAAGTTGATCTGGATTTTTATAGCTTAAAGGGCTCACTTGAGAACGCCTTGAAAACTTGAAGATACGTGGCCAAACCCCCTTGTTGTCTTTCAAGAAGCCTTGAACCAGAGCCATGGGGAAAAGTTCTCTGCAAAGGACAGCTATGTTGAAGATTTTAGTGGGACTTGGGAAGGGAACCCTTTTCAGTTTACTTAGTACGTTACGTTGTCTAAATTTTAATCCTGTGAACCCTCCAGAAACGGGCAGTGTACTACTTCTTGCTTTGAATCACTGGACCCCATAGTTTCCAATTAAAGGCTGCAGAAATTAACCAGGTGGCCAAATGTCAAGGAAGCTGGACAGTAAATTAGGGTCTGAATTAAGGTGATTTGCCAACTTAATTGCTTTTATCTGGTCCCTGATTTTTCCATTAGGCATAGTGGGACCATGGTTACCTACGGTGGGATGTCAAAGCAGCCTGTGACAGTCCCTGTGGTGAGTAGCCGTAAAGTTTTCTGGCCAGTCTATTTATCCTGCACATGTTCCCTTTCCTGAGATAGTATAGCTATTTCTATTTGTACAGCATGTTTTCCAGTGCATTGAGTTGTTAGAGCAGAATCTCTAGGAGGAGAATCATTCTGATATCCTCATATTGTGATGCAAAATTCTCCCCATCCAAAAAATATATTTCAGAATTTGTGAATTGTAATTCCTCTGCCTGTTTCTGCAGAGCGCATTGATCTTTAAGGATATCAAGCTTTGTGGCTTTTGGATGACCCAGTGGAAGAGGGCCAATAGCCAGAGTAAGTGATGTCTGTCTGTCTGTATATTAGAAATAGATGAAATCTATTTTCACCTCTAAAAAAGCTTTCTCATCTCTTTAATTGGGTGGATTAAAATACATGCTAAATAATATGCAGCCAACTAAAATAAAACTCCATACATTAAAATTGGAAGACAACTGTGTGTATTAGAAAAATAGGGCTATGGAGAAGAATATGGTTCTTAGTTAAGTGAAAAAGGTTGTGGCAGAACACCTGTGATGCGACCTCCTTGCATTTCCAGTGAAAAGTGAAAGAAAAATCACTGCCAGAGATATTGGTTGACTTTAATCGGGTCTTGATGACACTTTGCTGGCCAATTTATAGTCTTGGGTTAGAATTGGTGATGGTAGGGCCTTTGGGATCTGTGGATTACAAAAGCACATTAAGTACTTCCCACAACCTTGAAGTCTGTTTATTCCTTCCCTAACCAAAAGAGACAATTCAAACTGCATCATGTATTGAACTTTTGGGTATTGCTGATTTTTGTCTTCAGGCTGCCTGACTCTAGAGAGCATTTTATTTACTTATTTTATCCAGTGTGTAGAGTTGCCTAACTCAATTGATTCTGGGCTTACAGTAGCGTACAGTAAAAACAACCAATAAAAAATCCCCACTAAAATGACATGACCTGATAAAACTAATAAAAACCAAAACAGAAGAAGGCTCAGTAATACAAGAGAACTAAAGAGAACTACTCTTCATCCCAGGGCCTGGAGGAAGAGCCAGGCCTTCAAGGCTTGCTTAAAAGATGGCAGGGTTGGAGCAACACAAACCTCTGGTGAGAATACCATTCCAGAGGGCAGGCAGAGGAGGTATAAAGCAGAATTTATTGTAGTAATGATTATTATTTGTTCTCTTGAATCTAAACCCAGTAGTTCAAGAAGAAAGAACAATTGATATCTGCTTTGTGCTTTCTTTTCTGTACACAGACAAGGAGAAGCTGGAAACAATGATAGCAGACCTGTGCAGTCTCATTCGAAAGGGTCAACTGGTTGCTCCGATGTGCCAAGAAGTCCCTTTGTTAGATTTCCAAGCAGCTTTGAAGGTCTCCCTGGAACCATATGTATCAGTTAAGCAGATCCTCCGGATGTGAAACTAGTCCGATGGGAAAATAGCACCCAAGTATTTCCAGTGGACTTCAGTCCCAGGAGGCCTGAGTGATTCAGAATTACAGAACTGAACTGATTTATATCCCCTCATCCATCCTCTGGCTCAACAGGGAGAAACAGGGGAGCAAACAGTGCAGGCTTAACATATATAGGAAATCACTAATAACTATGATGGTATGGGAGCTAAAGCAATTCTGGTTTCTACACAACCAGGGAATTCTTGTAGACTTGATACAAGTGTGGAGGAAAAGAGACATTTCAGCCCATGGAAGACCTGCTCTCAACAGTTCTTATCCTGGAGACACTCCATCTATGCTGATGTATGTGTGCACATTCAGAATATCTACTATCAGACAGTGTGATGAGACTTCCTCAGGAGTGGGATGAGATGGGGCAGAGGCTGGTAAAAGACTTTATAGAAATCTAATTCTAATTCTGCAGATTATAATGAATGAGCTGAGCTAGGTAGCTTTTAGGTATTTTCCTCCTTTACAGAAATAGGATGCTGTTGACAATTTGTGCCGCATTGGACCAATCCTTCTCTTTTCCTGAGCAAAAGGAGTCTGACAAGTCAGTCATTGGACTAGAAAATCATAGTGGATGCATTCAGCTCCAAAATTAGTTCTGTGGCTTCTAAGGCAGCTTTCCCCAACTTCACATTTGACTTTCATAATTCTTGGCCCACATAACTGATATGCTGGCTGGGAATTATATGAACCAGTCCAGAATATTTGGGGGGACACCGGGTTGGGGAAGAATGTTCTAAGCCATTCTGATGCATTCTCAAAGCTATGCAGCAGCAGCAGGTGTTAGAAATAGAGAATGATCTGTGCTGTAATATGCAAGAAGGAAAACTAGTTTCACTTAGTAGGTTTCTTAGTAGCTCCTTTTCATTCTGTTGAGCATTGTTAGTTTATTAAAGGTGGATGGCATAACTCAGGAGGGGTAAGTAGCCCACCAAGGTGTTTTCCTTGGAGCAGCCAGCTTGCAGGGGAGTTTCTAAACGGCTGCTGCGTAATCTGAGAGCCCTGATGAGTCAAATGTAGCCTGCAACATCGAAAGTTCTTTCCTTTGGGATATGATGTCTGAAAAAGAACAGGTTTTTTTCAAATAATTTTATTAAGAATTATAAATGAAAAGAATAAAAGCCAATACAGGCTACAGAAACTACAAACAGAACAATACAAAAGAAAGGAAAGTGTAAAAAAGAAAATAGAAAAAGAAAGAAGTAACTTCCCCCTTCATCCCAGCAAGTAAAGACAATCTTAATAGCTTATCACTATCTCTAAATACAACATAATCTCTCTTCACACCATATCTCATCTATTGAATAAAAAAACAAAATCCAAGTCCCTCGTCAATTGTTCTTTATCAGCAGAAGTCCAGTAAGGGAAACCAGATGTAACTATTTTTCTCCTTTAGCCCTGGTCAAATAAGCCAACTTTGTATTCCTTCCCTCAGTTTTTAAAAATATATTTTAACCCCTTCAAAAAGAATCCCAGAGCTAGTTTTCTGTTCATCTGCGTTTCAAGCCAAAAATCTTTCAGAGCTTTAGCCAATTTTTATGTTGTATTTAGAGATAGTGATAAGCTATTAAGATTGTCTTTACTTGCTGGGATGATCTTTCAGAGCTTTAGCCAATTTCTTTTGTATATCCAATAAGTAAAGTTTGTCCTTTTGTTCGTCACTTTTAATAAAGTCCTTCAAAATCCTAACAGAGCTCTTTTGTATATCCGGTAAAAAAAATCCAAGTCAGTTCCCTGGTTCAACATTTGTATATCTTCTTTTGGGAATAAGTCATCCATCACTTCCATTTGTGTGCCCATATCTTTCTCATTACTTGTTACATTTAAGTCCCCCTTCAAAGTATATCTTCTTTTGGGAATAAGTCATCCATCACTTCCATTTGTGTGCCCATATCTTTCTCATTACTTGTTACATTTAAGTCCCCCTTCAAAGTAATTTCAAAATCATCCGTTGCAACTTGCTCTGTCAGTCTTGTCAAGAAATTCATCTATTTTATCAAGCTTGGCAGACAAATATTCCCAAGTTTGTATTACAGATTTCTGCTCCATTTTCTTTATCTTCTAGTTCCCTCTAGTGTCCAACCTTCAAAGTCCCCTTATCATGAAAAACATGAAAAAACTCAAAACGACCGCCATTTTTCCCGTGAGAAAATTTCTTCTAGTTAATTCAAAGCTCTTTGTGGACATTTAAAATTATAATTCAAAGTCCATCTGAGCCCTTAATCAGTTGTTAAAGTTTCTAAAGTCCATATTCTGAGCAACCTTTAGCTGCTTAATCCAAAAACTATTATTTTTCAAAAGGTTATAAAAATCGTATTTAAAAGTTCTTCCTCTAAGGAGAAGTGATTCACCTAATGAATACAATATAACTTGCCATTTTAAAGGGTCTTAATCCTTTTAAAGCAGCAGAAAAATTTTTTTTTATCCAAATCCAAAGTGATTCAGAAGTGAGGCTCGGTTGAGCTTAATGTCCTTTAAAAAGGCTGCATTAGCAACTGTGAGCAAAGATGGTTCCTCCCTTGACTCCCAGTTGCTCGACCCATAGGCAAACTGGAACACAACTATTCCTGCAGTTTACTCACGAGGAGCAGCTGTGCAGAGTCACATGGGTGATCTCAAAGAACTCTCCTTAATCCAGAGAGCGTTTTGGCGGCCAGCATCCTGCATCCCGCATCAATCTCCGTCGTAACACCATCCCACTGGAAAAAGGAATGTTTAGCTCACCATGGCTCTCAACTGGAAGCCTGGAAAAGAACAGTTTTGAATTGGTAATTTATATCACGATGGCCGTAACTGAAACGAAAGCAAATTGCATTTGATTACAAACCTGTTCTTGCAAAGCCATGAAACGGCCATTGAAAGCCAGTGATTTTCATCTCCAATAAAATGTTCTAGCTCTGACCACGGAAGGATTTTTGCTTGGCCTTAGTAATAGGAAATGACAGCCTGGAAGCCGTTCAGTTGCACAAGTTGCTGCATCAGTCTCGAACATCTTCCACTGTACTGGTTTAATAGTTTGTGTCATGCTTTCAGGCATTAGATTTGATATGTAGGAGTCCTGTGCTCTTATGTGTAAAATGCAAATGAAAGTGCTGGATTTAGACGGATGCATGGAATGAAATAGTAGATTGGTCCTACGTAAGTTGGGCACAGCATGAGAAAGACGTATGTGCATTTTAGTTTCGAGTGGCTTTGGTTTGCTTTATTATGGCTTGCATTTACCGTTCCATAGCTTGCGGTGGGAACTAAATAATTAGACCTGTTCTGAAAATGGTCTGCTGCATTTCAAAGAATGGCACACAAATGGAAGGGCTTTGTATGCCTCAGCTGAAGCCATGCCACTCAGATCTGGGACTCTTCAATTTGAAAAGAGAGCCATGGAGGATGTGAAGGAAAAAGTAATGTTATATTTCTCCCTTTGAATTTAAATGTTCTAGTCCTTGTTATATTCCCTCTGAAGCTAGAGAGAGAAATCTGAGGAAACCTATGGTTCTGGGATGCTATCCCGGATACCACTGGACTACAATTCAGCAGAAGGTTTATTTTTATATATATATAATTTTAATTAAGAATTTTTACATAAGTAAAAAGCAAATGTAAAGGAAAAATAAGAAGAAAGGGAAAGAAAGAGTGCAAAAAGCAAAGCAGAGTAAGAAAGAAAAATAGTTAAAGAAACAAAAAATATGCAACTTCTGACCTTCTTTTCAACAAATTCATTATCCCTTCTCCCTCTTGGTATTACAAAAATCTCTTCAGCCCCTTATTTAGTCCTTTTTCGGTCATCAAAACCATATATCATCCCTTCACTTTTTTCCATTTTCAGCAAAAAGTCCATAAAAGGTTTTCAGTCTTACGTGTTTGTTGTTTTATCCCTGACCAAATAGGTCTGTTTTGCCATTTCTGCCAATTCTGACATCTTCATCGTCTATTCCTCCATTGTGAGAATTTCAGTGTTCCTCCGTCGTTGTGCATATAATAATCTTAATTCAGCAGAAGGTTTAAAAAAGAAAAAAAATATCCCTGCTAAGGTCATTCATATCAAAGCAAAGTAAATCAGAAAATCTCTACTGCAGATCATAAGAGGTCACTGGCTGCAAGAGGTTTAACATAAATCAGTGTACAAGATATTTTCTAACTTAATCACCAGCTAATGGCTTATTATAATATGTTGCTGTCCTGCTTCTCTGTCTAGTAATAAGCCTCTAAAAGAATGTTGTTTAAATGATAAGTTGTTAAGTTAGCAGCAAAACTAAAGGAAAACACTTGGTTAAAAAAAAATGGAACCTAATAGTATTAAATAACGGCCAGAAAAATTACATGGATTGTCTTTGAAGATACCAGTAGTAGAGTTCAACTCAAAGGAGACTTTATTTTTGTCATACCCTGTGAGTTTATACCTTGCATTAAACCATGATTTGCACAGCCATTTTTTTTGGCTAAGCCAGCCTTGATTGAATTTCCATGACAGTGTGCTAAAACCACACACACAACCTAGAAAGCAGTATTTCTTAATTTGCTGGGTCACATCCAGCTGAGCTGTGGATTGCTTGCTTTATTGGATAAGTCACAATTAGTTGGGTTCATCCCACATGCTAAGCCATAAATTTTGCCTTGCAAACCATAATAGCTTCTTCACACCACACAGCAAGTCAACATTAAATCACCTTATGGCTTACTGGGATGTGTGAAGCCAACTGCTTAGTTCTGGTTTCCTTCTTGCCTTCCAGCTGAGTGTATACAAAGACCAGGAGGATTGAGTTCCTGTGCTGTTCTGGCACAGATGAATCAGGGTGGCTGGATGTGCTGTCTGTTTGTGAGTCCATCCATCTCTTTGTGCAGCTGCTCCACATTCCTTGTTTTGACTCATCCATCATCTCTTAATTGGCCTCTTACTCCTTTTGCCCATTAATCTCCATCTTGGAGCACAGAAGTTTGTCTTCGTTTAACCAGAGACTTGGAGAGAGAAAGCAAGCGCACACCCTTTGCTTTTGCAGTAGAAGCAGCTGCAGTTTATCATACGTGAGCCGGTGAACGCAAAACATGGCTGGGTTGGGAAACTGATTCAGTGTCCCTAATCAGGAAAAGGATGACAACTAGGGCTATGAAGCCAAGCTGCCCTTTCTGTGTGTTCCCACTTAACAGAACTGTTTTGTTTATGAGAAAGCAATTAGTTTCTCCATAAACATTCTCCCCCCAAAGCAATCTGGCAGGAGGTGCTTGGAGCCCTTGGGGGGACAACAAAAGTGACGGGTCTCTTTCCAGACCATTAGCACCAGCAGGCTGCAGATGGTGATGGCTGTCTTCGTTGGAGTTGTATTGCAAGAGAAATGAGTCCCATTTTCCTGTTATCATCGCTGCCATGATGGGTAGGGAAGGAAGAACAGTTCCACATGGCACAGGGATTAATGGGACAGAACAATAGCTAAAGCAGGGGGGATGGAAAAAAGGTGGCCCAAAGCCATTTTAAACCCATTTAAAACAACTTTCTTAGCAATGTTCATACTTGCCTTAAAACAGTTTCCGTTTTTGACTTCCCTGGATCATTAGTCTGGGGAGAGTGTCTCTGAAGAGGCGGGGGAGGGGGGGATTAGCTGTCGCCATTTGGTAAAAGGCACAAGATGCTGGAGTAGGAAACAAGGATGGAGTGGCCAGTTCTGTCACCCAAACGGCCAACGCAAAGCAGCACAGGGCACTCTCCATTATGCAGACGTGTGCTTAACTTCCTCATTCCTTCTACAGTCTGTGTATATACCAGTGTTTCTCAACCTTAGCAACTTTAAGATGAGTGGACTTCAACTCCCAGAATTCCCCAGCCAGCAATTTTGGGAGTTGAAGCCCACTCATCTTGAAGTTGCTAAGGTTGAGAAACACTGATATATATCAAGGATTTGAAAAAGCTTATTGTTGCCAGATACAGGACATTGTTCATTAGGAGTACAGTAGAAGCAAGGGGTTGTCATCTGCAGTGGCAGGCCATGGTTTTAGAAAGAAATACATTTCGGGATTAACATTAAAAGAAAGCAGGTTAAGAAAATTATTTAAATTAAGAGAATACCGCTTGCCCCCATTCATGAGAGGCATGGCAAATAGAACTTCTTGCCATGTAAGATTATGGTTCCTAGAAAATATCCTGATTTATCCATATCTTGGTATTTCACGATACATGTGATTCTTGGCAGACACAAACACAGTGGGAATGAAAACAAGGGCTA